TCTGATGTCTGTCCTGAGGTGGCCCACGTCACGGTCCACTCCATCTTACAGGTGAGGATCTCCCACGAGATCCCCGTGGTGGATGGATGAACATTTCAGCCGTTTCTAGTGTGGAACTATTCTGAATAATTCTGCCATGTACATTCTTATACAAGTTGTTCTGGTGGATTGTTGGTGCATGTCTGTATTATTCTTTTATCCTTCTAAATGTGTTTAAAATTTTTTATTGGAGTACAATGTTATTATGCAAGTTACAGGTATAGTGAGTCACAATTTTAAAGGTTATACTCCATTTAGAATGATAAACTATTGGCTATATTCCCCATGTTGTACAAGCTTATTTTATACCTAATAGTTTTTGTCCCTACCCCTTCCCTCTCCCCACTGGTAACAGCTCCTTGGTTGCCCATGTGTCTGCTGCTTTGTTTTACTCACTTTGTTGTGGCTTTTAGGTGCCACGTGTGCATGATATCATGCAGTATTTGTCTTTCTCTGTCTGGCTTATCTTACTCAGCCTAATGCCCTCCAAGTCCGTCCATCTTGCCGCAAATGGCAGAATTTCATTCTTTCGTATGCCTGTCACTTCAGTCGTGTCTGACTCTTTGTGACCCCATGGACTGTAGCCCGCCAGGCTCCTCTGTCCATGGAATTTTCCAAGCAAGAATACTGGAGTGGGTTGCCATTTCCTCCTCCAGGAGATCTGCCCAACCCAGGGGTCGAACCTGCATCTTTTGCATCTCCTGCCTTGGCAGGTGGGTTCTTTACCACTAGCGCCTCACAGGAGGATTTGCTCTGGGGTTCAGCTCCTTAGGGGGCCCCCAAGGAACCAAACTGAAGTCTCTGGAGTGAAGAAACTCCCAGGTGGCACTAGTGGTAAAGAACCCACTTCCTTTGCAGGAGATGCAGGTTAGATCCCCGGGTCAGGAAGATCCCTTGGAGAAGGGAGTGGCAACCCACTCTAGTATTTTTGCCTGGAGAATCCCCATGAGGAGCCTGGCAGGCTACAACCCATGGGGTCGCAAAGAGTCAGACATGACTGAGCATGTAGGGATAAGAAGATCCTCACCAGCTGGCAGGCCCTTGGCGTGGGCTTGCCTAAGGATTCCACACAGCTATTTTGGGTCTCATACAGATTCTGCAGACACCAGGACCACACAGCCTTATGGGAATTTCTTCACTCCAGAGACCCCAGTTTGGTTCCTTGGGGGCCCCCTCAGGATCTGAACCCCAGAGCAGATCCACCAGCAGCATAATGTACTAAAAATGTCATTCAACAAGCAGCTGAAAGTTGAAAAACCACTTGTACAATCAGCGTCATCACATAGTTTTTCATTAGCATGTACATTTGTAATAAGTCCACCCCTTCGCTTTCCTATGGTTGATGTTTGACCTTAAGACGAAGAGCTTATCATCCTAAGATTAGCCCTTTATTGAATGTCTCCATTTGAACATTTCCTGTGTCCCTGATCTGGAGTTGAGGTTGACCTCGGCATCTGAGTGTGTGTGGACGCTTATTCCTGGAGTCTGGTACCGAGTAGTCAGGGATAGACACACTTAGATCATCCCATCCACCTTTTGATGGAAGCAAATGTGTCAAGAGGGTTTGCGGCTGGTTGTCCTCGGAGCCACACCCCAGACAGCATGAACAAAGGAAAAGTCACCTGATCGATTCATCAGCCCAAAGACGGATAGATGGTGAACTCACTCTTGGCTTTTCAGGTGTTTTGGCCTTGTGTGCCTGAAGGTAGTGTGAAATGAGAGTTTGTGGATAAATCCCACACTTGGTGGGCTTCCCTGGTGTCTCACACGGCAGTGAATCCACCTGCAGTGCAGGAGACCTGCATTCCATCCCTGGGTCAGGAAGATCCCCTGGAGAAGGAGACAGCAACCCACTCTAGTATTCTTGCCTGGAGAATTGCATGGACACAGGAGCTCGGTGGGCTCCTGTGGGTCCATGGGGTCACAGGTTGGGCATGACTGAGCACACACAGGCCCACCCTTGATGAGGACTTGTCAGAGGTACAGGTGGGCACTGAAGGGAGGATGAAAGCATCACCTTAACATCCTCACCAAACAGCAGGCATCCCTGTGGGCGGCCCAGCCTGGGGTGGGGGGGCCTGGCTCAGAGTGGGGTCCCAGCCCACATGCATCTTATCCCTGTGCTTTTCCTCCTGCTTGCTTGCTTTTCCTTTCATCCACCATAAAAATGTTAGCATTTTTTTTCTTGGCCACATGCCCAGCATGTGGGGATCCGACCAGGGAGTCCAGCCTGAAACCCGCCTGCATTGGAAGCTTGGAGTCTTTACCACTGGACCCCCCAGGGAAGTCCCAAAAATGTTAGTGTTTTTCTGAGTTCTGCTGATGAAACCAGAAAAGGCCTCAGCGCCTTGGGAGAGGTTGTGAGCCCCTCTTAAATGGTGGGTGCGTGGGACGGGCGTCCCCACAGGGAAGAGAAGGCTGAGGACCACACCTTTTCGGTCAGAAGGGTTTCTTTACAAAGGGATGGAGCTGTGGGCAGAGGGACGCCAGGGCGTAGTGCAGGTAGCACCAGGACCACCCCGGACCTAAAGGGAGAGGAGGGGGGTGACCCCCAGCGAGCCTCCAGCACAGGGACCCCCAGGCGCCCACTCAGGGAGGGAGCCCAGACATGTGCACCCCCACTTCACACTCCAGTATTCCCACCTGGTCCAGCCGAGCAGGGAGCCAGAGGTACCCGAGCTGATGGATGCTGCCCGGTGGGTGTCCTCCCCAAGAGGGGAGAAGGTGCGAACAGAAGGCGGTGGGAGACTCAGGTGTCAGCGCAGGGGAGACCCTGCCGAGCTGCCCGAGGGGAGCACCGGCTCAGCTCCAGGGCATGCTCGTCCTGCTGTTACAGTGCCCCGTTGTGCAGGGATCTGGCCAGAGTGCACCCAGGGACAGCTCCCTAAGTGATGGCAGGTGGAGAAGACCCCGAGGAGCGTGTGCAGTGGCTCTTTGCGGCGCCTCGCTGAGCCTGCATGCCCCATCCTTGTGAGATGCCGCACACCTGGCCCCTTGCTGCCCCTGGAGCGGGTGCCAGCACTGGTTTTGACGCTACCATTCAGGACATGAGACTTTCCATGTTCTTGGGGCTCAAGCAAGTCCTAGAATCAGAACATCGGAGCCAGGAGGGAGACGGGGAGCTGGCTGGCTGAGGAGGAGCCAGGGCAGGTGCACTTCTCAAGAGCATCTCTGATCTCGGTGGTCCTTGGTGCTGAAGAGCTTCCGCTGTAGTTTTTATTTCCCTTGCAATATTCGAGATGCACCCACTTTGCACAGCAGCATATAGTTGGCATCGTTTTTTAAGGTAGAAATATATTTTTAAGAGCGGGATCTTTCTGCTTCTTTAATCGCTTCGTGCAATGACAGTGAGGGCCTTGTTTGTGGCTGGGCCCCGGTTTCCACCTCTTGCTGCTCACCAGGACCACCAAAGTCCTGAAAAATGTGTGTTCCCTTGAGCTCTACCCCCCAGACCGTTGGAATCAAAATTTGAATTTTTTTTTTTGCACCTGCTATTTTTAAAAAAGCTCCATGGGTAATTGGCCAGATTTGGGGACTACTAGTATGCTCTATCGGAGAAGGAAATGGCACCCCACTCCAGTACTCTTGCCTGGAAAATCCCATGGATGGAGGAGCCTGGTAGGCTGCAGTCCATGGGGTCACTAAGAGTTGGACATGACTAAGCTTTTCACTAAGCTTTTCATGACTTCACTTTTCACTTTCATGCATTGGAGAAGGAAACAGCAACCCACTCCAGTGTTCTTGCCTGGAGAATCCCAGGGACGGGGGAGCCTGGTAGGCTGCCGTCTATGGGGTCGCACAGAATCGGACACAACTGAAGCGACTTAGCAGCAGCAGCAGTATGCTCTATGTATTTAAAATCATGGGCTATGAAAACCTTTTATGGAAACAATTTAGAACTTAATTGGTTCTAAACTAAAAAAAAAAATGGGAGGAATGTTAAAAAAAAAAAAACAAAAAACCGTTTAATTCCCTCAAAGATCTCCTTATAGATCCAGCGAACTCCCTAGCAGCAAGGTGTGATTGGCTGAGCTTTAGAGAAAGGTGCTTAATTATATTTTTGGGTCTGAAATTGTGGTGACAATATCACTCTGATGTTGAGCAACTGATTCAAATCATTAGGTATAAAATGGACCCATTTTTCACCACACTGCATGCTGTGAAGTTTCCAAGATTATTTTCCCTCCGTGTAGCCTCTTTTCAAGGTGAAGAGTAAACTTACCTGGTTTAAGAGCCTGACTCTGCCACCCATGTCACATCTAGGAACTCTGATTTGTGTTGATAATAAAGTATGGCTGTCCCATGAGAATAACTCTCTGGCAGCAGACAGTGGAATCCTATTGGCGATGGTTTTGCTTGCACCAATACGTTGACGCAGCAGGACTCCTCCAGGATGCGCCTTGTCTCGCTGGCCTGCTGGAATATCGTTGTTTAGTCGCTCAGCTGTGTCCAGCTCCTTGCGACTCCTTGGACTGTAGCCCGCCAGGCTCTTCTGCCCGTGGAATTCTTCAGGCAAGATACTGGAGTGGGTTCCTTCTCCCAGGGAATCTTCCCGACCCAGGGATCGATCTGAGGCTTCTGCATTGGCAGGTGGATTCTTTACCCTTGCAGCCCCAGGGAGGCCCCGCCGGGAGTAGTTTTTTTCTTTTTTTCCCCAAAAGTGGGTCTCCTGTCTTCACTGCTGCTCCGTCTAGAGATGGCGGTGCACGTCTTTGTCTTGGCTCGCGGTGGTTGCAGCCACTGAAGCCTTGGGTTCCTTTGTCGAGCACCCTGAGGCTTGCTTCACCCGGCTTTCCTCCGGAGCGTTGTTGCTTCCGGCGTTGCCTCTCCTCTCCGTGAATCCGGAGGCCAGGTGCGCGGCGTCAGGTCCGCGACGTGCAGGCGCGTAGCCCCCAGACTGACTCGTGCCGGCTTCGGGCGTGCGGTGCGCACTGGTGCTCACCTGACTTGTTTATTCCTAGGGAATGTCACTAGTGCGCCTGGGTCTCAGATGGCGAGCGGCGTCAGCCTGGGCTCCTTCAACAGCCGAGCGGACGGCATGCAGCAGCGGTCCTACTCTGTCTCCAGTGCCGACCAGTGGAGCGAGGCTACGGTCATTGCAAATTCAGCCGTCAGCAGTGGTAAGAGAGAGGCACGGCCCCGCGCACCCGCGGCCGCCTCGCGGTCCTCGGTTGTAAACCAGGGGCTGGACGCGGCGCTCTGCTGTGAGCGCGGCCGCCCTGCCGCCGGCATGCAGCCCGCCGTCCACCTGTGGAGCAGTTGTGTCCTCAATCGGCAGCCTCACCCACGTTATCCCGTGTCCCGCTCCAGTGGAGGGACGCGGTGCAGGTTCGCCCCACTTGACAGATTGGGAAACTGAGGCTTTAGGAGAGGCTGTGCCCGTGCTCACACATCCCTCCACGAGGTGGCCTTCATGTTCCAGCATTAGTGTGGAACCACTGTAGGTGGTTAGGCTTCACTTTTTTGGCATCAAATCAATACACATAATTCTTCCTCCTTAGCCATTGGTCCAGGTTCCTGGTATATCCTCTTAAGTTTGGGAGAGTCTTCCCCCTTGCTTTTTTTTTCTTTTTTTCAAGTGTGGACATCTTCTTGGGAAGCAAATGTGCTCCCGGGAAACCATCTTGACATATGTGTGAGTGCATGAATTATGCAGCATCGAGGCCCCGCTTACCACAACATGCTTTGCCTGTGGCATTTTTGTCTATGGCCTGTTCACCGGTATTTAAAGGAATTCCCACTGTAGTGTGTCATCTATCAGACAGGGTTTTAGAGTAATTTTAGCATAATTTGTTCTAATTAAAAGATTCAGCATCAGGTCTTCCCTGTAGACCCAGCAGCTGCTGCCGCAGGACGTGTACTTTGGGTAAACAGCTTCCTTGTCGCCAGTTACCCCACGCTCCTCCGTCAGCCGCCGCCAAGCAGAGGCCTTAAGGAGTGGCATCTCCAGGCCCAGGAGGGGAAGCGGGGTCTGGGAAGGCAGCGCCAAAGGATGCTGTGATCTCGTGGGCCTGGGGTGTACACACGGCCTCACCCAGAGCGCAGCACCCCACTCCCCGCTCCTTCCTCAGACAAAACGAGATGCTTCCGTGGAGAGCAAACCTCTGCCTCCAGCCTCTTCAGGGGCTGGGCGTTTCACCTCTCGTCTGGTATCATGACAGTACCTCCAGAAATTCAGTGATGGGGTTGAAATCGTTATACATTAGCCGCCTGCAGTTTATTCCCTTATAAGGTGACACTTGTGCGTTCACAGTCATCGGGGCCCCAGAAGGCCCAGCGTCTCAGCAGACAGGGCTGTGTTTCCAGCAGAGACCCTCCCCGCTCCACCTGCTGACCGGACGGCCTTGGCGGGCAACCTCCGTGATCTTATCTTCAAATGGGTGTGCTCTTCCCGCCCTTGTGTGGTCCTTAGGTGTGCAGGGCTTCGAATGCCTGTGGCTTCTGTCCCTGAAGATGTGCTGTTGTTGCCACGGTCACTTTTTTTTTTTGGAGGGGCAAGTAGTCCACCTACTCATTGTTTTAATCGCTAAGTCGTGTCTGACTCTCTGCAACCCCATGGACTATATCCCGCCAGTCTCCCCTGTCCATGGGGTTTGCCAGGCCAGAATACTGGCGTGGGTTGCCCTTTCCTTCCCATCACACACTTAATTGCATTGCCCAGTACTCTGCAGTGTGTCCATTTTTCAGTTAGCATTGTCTTGCTGTCCGAGCAGGTTTACGCCGTCGCCCTCTTTCTGAGAAGTCACACTCGTGTTTGCGGGTAGGCGGAGCTGACTTGGGCCTCCTCGGCCCGGTGCACACACCGCCCTGGCCCTGCCTTGCCCAGCAGCTGCCCCCGGCCAGAGCTTTCCTTGTCTGCTGAGCACCCAGCGCAGCCTGATTAGAGCAGCAGCCTTTGGGCTTGGCTCTTTATGTGCCGTAAGAGTTATGTTTGGGGAGTATAACTATGTAATAATATAGAAGAACAAGTTTCACGCCAAGTGTTGGCCTCCCACACGCTCAGAATAATATTTTTTTAGGAAAAGCATTGGAAGCAGCATATGAACCTAAAATCCATTCTTTACAAATTTTCCATTTGCGCAGAGACTCACTAGGGGGCTTCCCTGGAGCTCCGGTGCTTAAGACTCTGTCCTTCCAGTGCAGGAGGCACGGGTTCGATCTCTGGTCAGGGAACTAAGATCCCACTTACTGCAAAGTGCAGCCCACCCCCCACCAAAAAAAAAAAAAACGCCTTACTAGCTAACTCTCCCTCTACCCAGTAGTTCTTTGCCCCTGGTCACAGGTGTGAGCCAAAGCACCCCCACACCTTCTGTCTCATCAGAGACTCCCCGATTTCTAGACGCTTGATTTGGTTGGAAGCCTCTTCCCACGAAAGGTGATTGCCTTGGTCTGTACAGTTCAGTGCAGTTCAGTTCAGTTGCTCGGTCGTGTCCAACTCGTCAAGAACCCATGGACCACAGCACTCCAGGCCTCCCTGTCCATCACCAACTCCTGGAGTCTACTCAAACTCATCTCCGTTGAGTCGGTGATGCCATCCAACCATCTCATCGTCTGTACAGGCATCTTTATAAAGTACCTGTACGACTGAGGTCACCTCTAGATGAATGCTGTTTATAAATTTACCAAGTGATTTCTCACGCGCTAATGCCCGGCTGCCCCTTGTTCTTTCATATAGCGTGTCTGTGACAGACTAGTGAGGCCTCCTGCTGCCCCAGCGCATGGAGCACGGACACAGGAAGTGAGAGCGCAGTGTGAGCCCGCAGAGGGGTATAGGTGGGGAGAGCGCGGCTGGAACCGCGCAGGTGGTTTACGGATGAGACGGCTAATCTCAGAAGACTCCCCAAAGAGAACCAAACGTGAGCAGCGTTTCAGGAGCCACATGGATGCCCTGTGTGTGCAAAACTGCAGAGGGAGGTTCTAAACATGAAGGCAGTTTGGACCAAGACTTGGAGAGGAGGAAAGGGGAGCATGGAACAGCTGAGGGGCCACACGGAAGTGCAAACGTGAGCAGCGTTTCAAGAACCAGGTGTTAGTTGGAATGCAGCAAAATGAGGACAGGCAGGAAGAGGAGGGGTGAGTGATCAGTTCAGTTCAGTCGCTCAGTCATGTCCGACTCCTTGCGACCCCATGAACCACAGCACGCCAGGCCTCCCTGTCCATCACCAACTCCCAGAGTTTACTCAAACTCATGTCCATCGAGTCAGTGATGCCATCCAACCATCTCATCCTGTCATCCCCTTCTCCTCCTGCCCCCAATCCCTCCCAGCATCAGGGTCTTTTCCAGTGAGTCAGTTCTTTGCATCAAATGGCCAGAGTATTGGAGTTTCAGCTTCAACATCAGTCCTTCCAATCAACACCCAGGACTGATCTCCTTTAGGATGGACTGGTTGGATCTCCTTGCAGTCCAAGAGACTCTCAAGAGTCTTCTCCAATACCACAGTTCAAAAGCATCAATTCTTTGGCACTCAGCTTTCTTTATAGTCCAACTCTCACATCCATACATGACCACTGGAAAAGCCATAGCTTTGACTAGACAGACCTTTTTGGCATAGTAGTGTCTCTGCTTTTTAATATGCTGTCTAGGTTGGTCATAACTTTCCTTCCAAGGGGTAAGCATGTTTTAATTTCACGGCTGCAGTCACCATCTGCAGTGATTTTGGAGTCCCCAAAAAATAAAGTCTGTCACTGTTTCCATTGTTTCCCCATCTATTTGAGATGAATGATAAGGGGTCAAAATTGCAACACTAGGACTTCCCTTGTGGCCCGGTGGTTAAGAATCCACCTGCCAATACCGGGGACACAGGTTTCACCCCTGGTCTGGAAAGAGTTCACGTGCTGGGGAGCAGCTGAGCCCCGGAGCCACAGCTGCTGAGCCCGTGTGCCTGGAGTCTGTGCTCCACAACCGAGAGCCACTGCAGTGAGAAGCCGTTGAACCGCAACCAGGGAGTAGCCCCCTCACCGCAAGGAGAAAAGGCCCACCGCAGGGAGAAAAGGACCCAGCCCAGACAAATAAATAAATACATTTTTTAAATTGCAGAGTTAATTAGCATTTTGCTTAAAACTTAGAGCTGACATTTCAAGTAGCAAAGATCCAGAGAGACAACAGAATGTTTCACAGAAGTAAGGGTCCTGCAGTTTCACAGGGATTTTCCTTCACATCTGTATTTCCTAAGGACGGGTGGCTGTGATATGATATGATTGAAGAGAAACAGCAGTCATGATAGAAAGAGCTGATGTTATTGAGGCCCTCGTGTGGACCGTCACGTCTGCTCACCGTGGAGTGGGTGCTGCTCTTGGCTCCATTTCCAGGCAGGGAGGCTCTGGTACAAGAGGAGCTCAGTATCACTTATGCAAAGTCACCTCCTGGTGAAGCTGCCGTGTGAACCCAGGTGGCCTGATTCCAGGCCTCAGACTCTCTGCATCAGCACTTCTTAGACAGGCTGCCCAGACCCGTGACGGCAACATCCCCTGGAAACTGGTTAGAAATACAGATTCTTAAGTCCCATCCCAGTCCCATGCATGGGTGCTAAGTCACTTCAGTCATGTCCAATTCTTTGAGATGCTGTGGACTGCAGCCCACCAGGCTCCTCTGTCCCAGGGATTCTCCAGGCAAGGGTACTGGAGTAGGGTTGCCATTTCCTCCTCCAGGGGATCTTCCCAACCCACCGAATCTAAAACTCAGGGGTGGCGCCCAGCAGCCTCTGTGCTAACAGACGCCCCATGGAATGGTGCTGTGGGCTGAAGTCTGAGAACCATCGGTCAAAATCCTTGCTTCTCAAAGTGTGGTCCACGGACTTAGTGGTATCTGACAGCCCCTGGAAGTTGGCTAGAATCGCAGAGTCCCAGGCTCCAGCTAGACTTCCTGGTTCGGGGCACATGTTGTCAAGAACTCTAGGCGACTGGGGCCCACTTGCATCCAGAGTAACATCCCAGCTTCCCTCTCAATGGTACCGTCCTGCCATACCCCGAGCAATTGTTAATAAAAACCAGGGCACAGGATCCGACGGCTGACTTCAAGAAAACACAGTTATGAATGGATTTCGGGACCTCAACTTGGCATCTGCATTCCCTGCCATGCTTGGAAAATAACCACAAAAGAAACAGTGATTAAGAGCTCTCT